AGTGTTATAAACAAGAAGTCATTCTTCCGCTTTACTTTGTGCTGATTAGGCCCCAGTTGCAGTATTGTGTTCAGTTCTGGGCACCCCATTTCAGGAAAGATGCAGACAAACTGGAGAAAGTCCAGAGAAGAGCAACACAAATGATTAAAGGTCTAGCAACCATGAGCTCTGAGGGAAGACTGAAGAAATTGGGTTTGCTTTGTTTGTAAAAGAGAAGACTGAGGGTGTGTCTAGACTACATGCCTCCTTCGACGGAGGCATGTAGATTAGCCAGATCGGAAGGGGGAAATGAAGCCGCGATTAAAATAATCGCGGCTTCATTTAAATTTAAATGGCTGCCCCGATCTGCCGATCAGCTGTTTGTCGGCAGATCGGGGGGCCCCAGCCATTTAAATTTAAATGAAGCCGCGATTATTTTAATCGCGGCTTCATTTCCCTTTTCCGATCTGGCTAATCTACATGCCTCCGTCGAAGGAGGCATGTAGTCTAGACACACCCTGAGAGCGGAGGATCATGGTAGCAGCTTTCAAGTAACTAGAAAGATGTTACAAGGAAGAGGGAGAAAAAATATTCTTCTTATCATTTGATGATAGGACGAGAAGCAACAGGCTTAACTTGCAGCAAGGGAGTTTTAGGTTGGACCGATCTGGCTAATCTACATGCCTCCGTCGAAGGAGGCATGTAGTCTAGACACACCCTGAGAGCGGAGGATCATGGTAGCAGCTTTCAAGTAACTAGAAAGATGTTACAAGGAAGAGGGAGAAAAAATATTCTTCTTATCATTTGATGATAGGACGAGAAGCAACAGGCTTAACTTGCAGCAAGGGAGTTTTAGGTTGGACATTAGGAAAAAGTAATGTCCAACCCCATGTACATCCTTGTCAGGGTGGTTAAACACTGGAATAAATTGCCTAGGGAGATTGTGGAATCTCCATCCTTGGAGATTTTTTTAGAGCAGGCTAGATTGACTCCTGTCAGGGATATGTTAGATGATGCTTGGTCCTGCTGTGAGTGCAGGTGATTGTCCTCAATGACCCTCGAGGTTTCTTCTGTCTAATGATTCTAGGAATTATGTGAGAATCGCAGCTTTCATTAAAAAGTACATTTCTAGCAGCCCCTCCTGCTGCTTTGGCCTGGGAGGCTCCCATAGCTTACAACGTGCCATGCAGCTGCTGATTTCTGAGTCTTTAGGTTCCACAAAGATAATTTTCCTGCTTTTCTTGATAAGTTTCCGTGACTGATGTTCTTCGGGATGTGTTGCTCGTGTCTATTCCACATTAGATGTGTGTGCTCGCCACATGCACCTGTGCCGGAAGTATTTCCCCCCTCAGTATCTCTGGCACGCTCTGGAGTGGCGTGTGCTTGCTACATTATATGGGGTGCCGCTGGCTCCCCTCACCTGCAGTTCCCTTTTGCCACCAGCGACATTGTTTAGACTATGCTGCTGCTACCAGTGTCGCCTCTTGGTGAACTCTGCTTTTCTAGTTGTTTTGTAGTTTAGTGTCCCTCTGTTAGAGTTTGACCGTAGTACACTTGTTCTCGGCCCACTGTGCTATCAGTCCACAGACCAGGTATAATGCCGAGTTTGGCAGTGCTGTATTGCAATCTGCATGTCCATAAACTGCCTGCCTCTGTGGGTTCTGCTTGGAGTCGCCTACTCTGAACGCGCATGAGCGAGCACTCAGCGAAGAGACCCTTGGTCAGAGCCATCACACAGCCTGCTCTCCTGCACTGTCAGCACTTCTGGCAAGAAGGAACTGAGGGTGGGGCAACATGCGGCCCCCTGTATAGCACACCATGAGGTGCTGTTCCAGGGTCGCCAGAGCCGGTCCTGTCCGGATACTGTTCAGGGGACAAACTTCCAGCACCAGTGCACGTGGCAAGCACGCACCCCTCATTGGAACCTAACAGCTCAGAAATCAGCAGTCGCAAGGCACATTGTATGTTATGGCAGCTTCCCTGGCCAGGGTAGCACCTGTATTGTCTGGTCCCACCCACTTCTGCCTGTAACTCCACCCCTAATATGCCCCTGCACGAGGGCTTGAGTTGCATGGGGCAGTGTATGTGCTGGGGCACTCCTCCCAGCTGGCTGTTACAGCAGCATGTAGGGCCAGAGAAGGGGCAGGATGCAGCCTCCTACTGGGACGTTTGCAGAATCTGCTGCACTGAAAGCCATGGAATGCAAAGTCCTGTCAGCAGATCTCGCGGTGGATCACATGAGCCGCCTTGGACACTCCAGGCAGGTTTGCCAGTTGTGGTTGGATATATGCCAAGATGTCTCATCACATGACATAATATCTTCTTCCTGGACACTGCAGGACCATCCTGGAGGTTTGGCAACTCTCCCTCTGGGGTGAGAATCCTGCCAAAGCTCATAATCATCCCCATTGGATGTGGCTCTTGCATAGAACTCTCCCATGGATTTCCCTTCCTTTCCTCCCCTGCCCTGGTGTACTGAGAAAGCATTTCCTCTCCCACACCCTGAAAGTCAGAGACTTCTCTCATTTCTCAGCCCCTCTCTCACAGTCGAGGCCCCCAGCACCAGGGCGAGGGGGCAGGAGGAGATGTCCTCATTTCACAGACGGAGTGGGGTGCAGGGAGATGGGATTACTCACCCGTGGTCACAGGAAGCAGGGCCATCCCTACCCACATGTAAAGCATGTAGCTGTGAGGGGCACTGGGAAATCTGGGGCACCAAGTTGCTCCAAGCGTCATGATGCTGTATGCAGCAGAGGGCTGCTATGGACTTTGGCCGCCCCCAAGCCCAAGCTGCTGGCCTCCCTCGCAGGCTGTGCCCAGCCTCCACTTACTAGGCAGCAGTGAGCGGCACAAGCGTGGGCCAGAGAACTCCAGAGGAGCAGGGTGCGGCTTCAGTTGGTAGCTGAAGAGAAGCAGCTGTTTCCCCTGCAAAGCTCTGCTTCTCTCCGGCCCACTGCACGGCCCCCTCTGCTCCTCCGGAGTCCTCCGGCCCATGCCGTCCGCCACCACCCGCCTGTTCCCCTGGGGCTACAGGGGAGCCTCCCTCCCTGCCCTGCTCCAGGGTTGCCAACTCTGTTGGCCAGACGCCATTGCAGCATCCAGTCTATCTGGCCAGGAAGAGTTGGCAGCCCTAGTCTCTGCCCCCAATTGTCTCTGCCTCTGTGGCTGCCCAGCCCTCCCCCCATGGCATGGCCACTCTCCCCAGAGGCCTGGGGGTGGTACCAGTGCTGGGCTGCATAGGGCACCAGCATTGCTAGGGATGGCTCTGACAGGAAGGCTGTAGTAAAACCAAGGGTGAATTTAGCCAGTTCCTTTACCACAAGAGCACCCTTCCCCTCCCCTCGGCAACACTGGCGAAGTGCACTCCTGGGATGTCACTGTGAGAAGAGATGGGCTTGACTGCGAGGTGGCTGGACACCAGGGAGCCCCATGGACTGGCTGCCTGGTACCCGACTCAGACAGGTGATACTGAGAGTGATGGGGTAACGACTCGGTGACACAGCACTCTGGGCAGGCCAGAGGCTGTTGTGAGTGCCCAGGACACATACAGCTGTGCCTGCACCAGGAGTTCCAGCTGGGCCCATCTGTCCTTTTGGCCCCCTTCATGCCCCTGTTCCTGCACGACTGGATAACAAGCACCGGGTGTCTGTGAGCACCGTGCAGGTGGGAACCCAGCAAGCTGCAGAGACACCATTGTGCCCCTGCTTGATTTGCCCCCTGGAACTTGCACCCTTTCATGTGACGGTATCACCGCGAGAGCTGCCTGTAGGTGCAGTTTGCAAATCGGGGATGGAATTGGTCCTAGGGTTCAGGTTTGCTTCAGTGGCTGAGGCGGTTGTGAACTCAAAGGCAATTTGCCTTTATCCATGTGCTCTGCGTGCAGGACTATGGCTTCTTAGATCAACTGCTTTTTACTGCCCTGGAGCATGTGACTAAAATCAGCTGGAAGCAGCATGATCAGTGTTGTGGGACCCAGCCTTCAGGTCTCCCTTGCTTGGCCACAGACTCTGACTTGGGAGAAGCCCCTTCCTGCCACAGTGTCCCCATCTGTACCCTTGGGTGATGGTGGTAACCTGGTTCCTGGGGAGTGGGTGGCTGGAGGAATCACAAAGCATGCTGGGAGCACTGGATGAGCAGTTCTGGTCCCAGCACCTGCTGCCTAGAGGGGATTACGCAGGGCACTCCAGTTACTGCTGTGGGACCCTTGAGCTGAGTGGATGTTTCCTAGGCCTGGCCCACATCTCCCTTCTCCCTTCTGCTCTTGGGCACCGGCCCCCTTACGAAGGATTGGTTAGTGAGTTCGAACCAAAGGCTGGTTAGTGAGTTTGAAACTTGGCTCTTGCTCTGTCACAGGCTTCATTAACCCAGCTCCCGCTGCACTGGGCAACAAACTAGAGCAAGCGTGGGCAAATACCGGCCAACCGGGGTTAGCGCCTGGCAGGTCCCCACTGCCATTGTATTTACCTGCACAGCTGCACAATGCAGTAGTTACCTGCACAACACAGATCAGCGTTTCCAGCCAAAGGGAGCTGCCAGATGTGGTCTGTGCCTCTGCCTACTGCTCCCATTGGCTGGAAAGGGCAATCCACAGCCAATGAGAGCTGCAATCGCTGGTTTCTGTGGAGGCAGGTAAATATAGCAGCAGCAGCCTGCCCCAGGGGCCAACGCTGGTGAACCACTGCCATGTTACTGCCCAGCCCTGCCCTCCTTTGCTGTTTTGTGAGGGAGTTTCTCAGTGAGGCCTGTTCTGCAAAGGCACCTGGGCCAGGCTCCTGGCAGACCGAGCATCTCCCGCCATGTGCTGTCTGGATGGTGAGGTCAGCGGACGTGGCCTGGTGTGCTGGCGGGCAGAGGGCCGGCGTTCTCGATGTGAATCCCACCCAACCATCAGACCAGTAGCCTGACCCTGCTCGGCACCCTGCATGCCAGCTGAGGCGCTGGCAGGAGGATGCAGTGTTCAAAATAAACTAAGAGGCCCCTGGTGCTCCTGAGATCTGAGCCCCCCTGCTTTGTGCCCACAGTTCCACCCGCTGTCTCTGTGCAACACCAGTGAGGACGAGCACACCGGCTCCGGATTCGTCACCATTGTCAAACTCGAGCGGCCGGATCGAGATCTCCACCCCTGCCTGTCACTGGCCAACAAGGTAAGTGCCTTGACGCTTGGTACGGACACGCCTGCGCTGCCCCAGCAGGACAGGCGGAAAGAACGGGGTTTGCAGGCGACGTGGCTGTCCCCTCAGCAGGACAGAGCCAGGTTCTGTTCTCATCGGAGGGGCTCTGAGCCAGTCTCTGTCCCTGCAGACGTGGGCTCAGCTGGCCCTGATATCCAGATTTCACAGCACTTAGAACTGGGCAGCCTTGTAACCGGGGCAGTGTTGACGCCTGGGTGCTTTGGAGCAAGCCAGCTTCGTCACAAGAAACTCCTGCTCCTATCCCCAGCCTGCCCACCCCACGGCTGCCCTTCCGCACATGCTGGGGGCTGCTCCCCCATCCGCCACCGGTGCTCAGCAGGCATCAGCCACCAGGGCCACAATTCGCACTGTCAGGTGGGGGCTCAGCTGTGGCACCAGGGGCAGATTTACCATTGGGCCCATTGTTTCCTGGCCCCCTTTGATGGTGGGACCCTGGGAGCTGCAGTTCCTTGGCCAGCTCTCTGTCTAGAGAGCTGGCCCTGGAGCTGGGAAGGAACTGCATTTCCCAGCATGCCCTTGGCTGCTAGCAACAGGA